CACTCGAGTCAATCAACTAAACTAGTGATCCAGGTTATGAGATTAAGATAACATCATAAAAAATAAATAAAAATAAATTATAAAACCCAATTCTCAATTAACACAATATCTTAAATTATAAAGCCTAATTCTCAATTAACATAATATCTAAGGATTAAATTGAAAAAAAATCAAATAAAAAAGGAAACAAAATTAAAACTTGATTTAACTAACCTAACTCGTGAGTTGAGTTATAAGACTATGATAATACCATAGAAAAAAATTAAAAAAATCATGAAGTCTAATTACAAATCAACATAATATTTAAAGCGTAAAATAAGATATAATAATAATAATAATAATAATAATAATAAATAACAAAGAAAATGACAGAGTCAGCTTGGATTAACTTGTCAAACCCAAGACAACAAATAGAGATAACTCCATAGAAAACAAATAAAAAAATTATAAACACAATCAACTTAATGTTAAAAGATTAAATGTAAAAAATATATTTAATTAAAAAGGACAACAAAAACTCAAGTCAACCTAACTAACCCATAAAACTCGCGACTCAGGTTTTGAGACTATGATTACCCATATCAAACAAATAAAAAAATAATTGTAAGCAAATAAAATAATAATTTGAATCTCAATTTTCAATCAACCCAGTAAACCATTGTAATTCTATAAAAAAAAATTAAAACAAATTATGAAGTCTAAAACCAACAAACTTATTGTTAGATAATAAAATTAATTTTTTTTTAATAACACATGTCCTAGAAAATGTTGATGATTAAAGTGAAATTGGCATCGACATTTTATTATTCATTAGTATAATGAAATGCCAACACCTTTTATTAATATCCAACTGTTGTTAATGTATTTTTTAATAGATTTTTTTAATTGTAAAAGGATTGATTTGATATGATTTTATCGACTTGGTAAGTTCAAAGATAATTTTGATATTCAATAAAGATATAGTTTGACTTGAAAAAAGCAAGATGATATTTAAAAAAAATATTAAAATAATGACATATTAAATTAACTTGAATCAACTTGGTTTAACATTTCAAATCCACTTTCTAGGATAGAAGACTTTGATAACCTTATATAAAGGGACAAAAAACTAGTATTAAGCTTAATTCTCAATAAATTTGATGTTGAATGATGAAATTGAAAATAAAATTCAACTAAAAAGATAAATTAGGTTAACATGTTAAACTCAAGTCATGAGACTGAGATAATTTCATAAAACACCAATAAAAAATAATCATGAAGTCTAATTCTCAATTAATCTAATATTGAATGATGAAATTAAAGAAAAACCAACTAAAAAAACTTAAGTCAACCAACATAACTCGTAACCTGGATTATAATACCACAATAATTGCATATAAAATAAATAAATAAATTATGAAGCTTAATTCTCAATCAACCCAACTCAGTGTTAAAGGATTAAACTAAAATATAATATAATAAAATAAAAATAAAATAAATAACTCGAGTTAATTCAGGTTAGCCTGCCAAACCCAATTTAGGAGACCAGAATAATTTCATAGAAAAAATAATAAAAAATTATAAAGTTCAATCTTCAATCAACTCAATGCTAAATGATAAAATTAAAAAAAAATCAATAAAAAAATAATAAAATTCAAGTTAACTTTGCTAACCTATAAAACTCGTAATTCAAGCCATAAAACTGTAATAACTCCATATAAACTGTAATAACTCGTAATAACTCCATAACCTATAAAAAATAAGTATGAAGTTCATTTTCTAATCAACATAACTGACTCATATGACTTGTGATTTGAAACATAAGACTAAGATAACTCGGTAAAAAATAAATTTAAATAAATTATGAAGATTAATATCTAATAAATTTAATATTAAAAAATATTTTAATTTTTTTTTAAAACATCAAAATCCTTGAGGACTATAGTAAAAAAAGCTTTGGCATTTCAAATTTTTACAATAAAATGCCAAAGCGTTTTAGTACAAGTTAATTTGTTTTATTCCTTAAACCTAATTTATGACTAGAGGTTACATCTAAATTTTGATAAATGGATAAATTATAATAAAGTATTATATCCTTTGCTAAATTCAATGCTTGAAATTCATTAACAGCATGTTTGGAGATTTTAATGAAATCTTATATTTGAAATTACTTTAAATATTAGAAATTAAATTTTAAATGGAATTTAATTTTTAAAAATGATATAAAAAAATCATATGCCTCTAATTTACAACACTAAATAGGAAAAATTAATGTTTAAACTAGTCATTTTAAAATATCTATTTATCCATTGTTTTTAGAAACCTTTGAAGAAAGAATGAGACGAAGGTGATGATAGTAATATAAGAAACAAAATAAATTAAATTTTATCTTTTAAAATATATGAATTTAATTTATTATTGATTAAATTAAATTTAAATTAAATATTATAATAAAATTCATTGTAGAAAAGTAAAGAAATTAATTCCGAACATCTGAAAAAAAAAACAAAAGGATGCTAGTTTCTCTTCCCATTAAAACAACGGGCCTACCAAAAAGTGAAGGCTCTCCACAGAACCAAGTCAGGCCTTGAGGCATGAATAGTTGCTGGGCGTGTGTTCATGTCTCCTACGGCCAGGCTTTTATCCAAGATGCACTGCTGGGTCTTAGCCTACAGATGACGTTAAGTCACCCAAGCTCAAACTTCAAAGTCCATCATGTACTCGACTCGAGCTATAAAATCAGGAGTCCACCACCCTCTCTTTTCTGTTTTCCCCTCGATTCAAAACTTTACCGAAGATTGATCGACAAAGAGATGCTAATAAGTAGTCGGCAGTGTTCGGGATGCCGTTAAAATTATATTTTTTAATTTATTTTTTTAAATTGTTTTAATGGGTTAATGATGTTAAATATTTTTTAAATAAAATTAAAAAATATTATTTTAATATATTTTTAAATTATAATCATCACCATATTTTCAAATGCCCCGTTCACAAGTATCCCAATATCTCAATGACTAATTACAATGGGAAAGAGCTTGTGGAAAACGGCTGAAGTCGGTGGAAAACGGCTAAGTCTCTAGACATGAATGATTTTGAAGACTTAATTTGATAACGACGAGGATAATGATGAGGGGGCGATAATAAAAGTTATAACAGTAAATATTCAATTATTTGTACGAAAGAAAATATCCTAGATTTTAATTTTATTTTTTAAAATTTAATAATTTAAAATTTAAAATTATTGAAAAACTATATTATTATTAATTTTAGAATTTATAAAATTAAACAAGACATATATAAACGGTTAAAATATCTATATTAATAATAATAAAAAAATTACATTAGGACATTCATTTTTTATATTAAAGAAAATATCTATATTAATAAAAAAAAAAATTACATTAGGACATTCATTTTTTATATTAAAGACATCTACAGATATTCCTTATTCCCATGTCTTGATCCATCGATTGCATCAGCACGCTTTTGGACGTTGTTGGAAAGTATTTTAATGCTATATTTACTGCATGGAGCTGGACTATATAAAAGAAAGACTGAGGTAATAAAATTAATTTTAATTTATAATACATCAGTAAATTATTTATTTTAGATTTGTTAATTGCTAGTTAATGAAAATTTATGAAAATAAATAATTGTATTATATTCTTAATTTATTTAATTTATATAATACATCAGCTTACTTATAGTTCGATTCAAAACTTTACCGAAGATTGATCACAAGGAGATGCTAGCTAATAAGTAGTCGGCAGTGTTTGGGATGCCGTTAAAATTATATTTTTTAATTGTTTTAATGTGTTGATGTTAAATATTTTTTTAAAAAATTAAAAAATATTATTTTAATATATTTTTAAATAAAAAAAACTTTAAATTATAACCATCATCGTATTTTCACATACCCCGTTCACAAGTATCCCAACATCCCAATGACTAATTACAATGGGAAAGAGCTTGTGGAAAACGGCTGAAGTCGGTGGAAAATGGCTAAGTCTCTAGACATGAATGATTTTGAAGACTTAATTTGATAACGACGAGGATAATGATGAGGGGGCGATAATAAAAGTTATAACAGTAAATATTAAATTATTTGCATGACAGAAAACATATGAGTTAGATTTTAATTTTATTTTTTAAAATTTATTAATTTAAATTTTATAAATTTTAGGGTTACTAAAAATCTATATAATTGTTAATTTTAAAATTTATAAAATTAATTAAAATATATATAAACTCTCCAAACATCTATATTAATAAAAAACAAGAAATTACATTAGGACATTGATTTTTTTATATTAAAGACATCTATAGATATTCCTTACTCCCTTGTCTTGATCAATCGATTGCATCAGCAAGCTTTTGGACGTTGCTGGAAAGTATTTTAATGCTATATATACTGCATGAAGCTGGACTATATAAAAGATCGAAGAAATCATCGTTTTTGGAACGTGAAAGCCTTTTGATTCAAGAGCATATAACTGTGTTTTTCTTTCAAATTATTTTTTTATTTTTTTGATATATTAAATATTAAAAATAAATTTTAAAAAATAAAAAAATATTTAAAAAAACAGGAAGGTGGGTTTTCTGCACCTCGTAAAGCATGGCGTTCTTGCCTTTTTGCGTCTTGTGGTCACGTCCAGGAATGTCAAGAAATTAGCACTAATAATTCTTCTTTTCATGATAATAATCTTAATAAATGTTTTAGAAATAAAAAGAAAGACTGAGGTAATAAAATTATTTTTAATTTATATAATACATCAGTAAATTATTTATTTTAGATTTGTTAATTGCTAGTTAATGAAAATTTATGAAAATAAATAATTGTATTATATTTTAAATTTTTTAAAAATATTTATGAATCTTTACTTGAAATATTTATTTTAAAGTATTTCAAATATTAATACAAAAATTTTACTTATAATTTTATAATTTATTTTTACTAGTTTATATTGTATTTTTTTTGGTGTTAAAAATACATTTTTAAAAACTGTTTGCTCTTACACCGACAAATCCACCCCGGACATCTATCGCCAGGACCCTGACACACACCCCACGATCCGATGTACCGTGCCCCCGCTTTCTCACACCTACTAACCGACACTCTCTCGTATGTGCCACCCCGCCACCCTCCCTTTCACTCTTCCTTCAGATTCCAAAACTGTAAAACCAAAACTGAACCATTAGACCCACACACGCACTCAGCATTAATCGACAAAATTCCCCAGCTTCACCGATTCGTTTCTTCAAAAAATCGCTTCTTCTTCTGCATGTGAATGTGATTCTTCGATCTAAAAATCTCTCATTTTGGAGGTGACGCCATCATCATCAATTAATGGAGGCGATACTGGCATGCGCGTTAGAGTACACGCTCAAGTACTGGCTCAAATCTTTCTCTAGAGACCAGTTTAAGCTTCAAGGCCGGACAGTGCAACTTTCTAATTTAGGTAACTTTCATTTTTGTTTTTGCTTTCTTAATCGTGATTCATTCATTCTGGAAATTCTCGTATTTTGATTTAATGAGAGAGGAATCCTAAGTTATTATTCTTTTTTTTTTTTAAATGAGAGAGGAATCCTAAGTTATTATTCTTTATTTTTTTAATTTTTTGCTAGGTTAAATCTGGAATTAGAATTTTCTCGTCTGTTTAAGAAGAAATTTTGGATTTGATTTTGATTTTTTTTTGTAAGAAATAAATGGAGACGCTTTGCACGCGAGTATGGGATTGCCGCCGGCGCTGAATGTGACAAAGGCGAAAGTAGGCAAATTCGAGATAATTGTAAGTGTTTTCCTTAGCTATTAATGTAATTAAAATTTTTTGAGGCATTTTGTGATTATTTGTTGATTAGCAGTTAATCTTAGTGGTGTAAAAAATTGAAATGTTTATTTTTTATGGGCTTAACTATATTTTTCTTTTCTTCCCCTTTTCTCAGCTTCCGTATGTAAGTTATGTACAAGTAGAGCCGATTGTTATTCAAATTGATAAGCTCGATTTGGTCTTAGAGGAGAATAGTGATTTAGATGGGAGCAGCAGTCCCAACAGGTAATGTGCTTTTGTTAGGGTTTAATTTTTGAAGTGATTGTTATGCTATTGGTTCAAAGTTAAAGATTACTTGTGTTTACTTTTTAATGTTGCAGTTCGCAATTGTCTGGTGGTTCCAGCAAGAGTAGCGGTTATGGATTTGCTGATAAGGTTAGGTGACATCTTGGGTGCGATTGCATTTTATTTTTGATATTTGGAATTCAGTGACTGCAGCCTGCATCTTGAAAATCTATTTTTTCTCCAAGCCCCAATTTGTGCCAAATTCTCTATATGAAAGGCCTGTAACTTGTTAGTATGTCAGAATTGAATTAGGACATGTAGAAGAGTCTTTCTGGTGCAAAGAAAGAGTAAGAGGACATGAATTGCAGAAACTAATCTCATAAATACATGGACTGTTCTGACGCTGAAACTTTTCTGAGGTGAATTCTACCATAAAATAACCTACTAAGGCAGTGAACGGACAAAAAATATTGAAATCGTCAAAGAAAGGGGAAGGCAGAAAGTGAGCATAGTAGTTTCTCATCCTCAAACCAGTGTTTCTGTATTGGCGCACACACACAGTCCTTCCTTGGCAGTTAAAAAATGATTTATATATAGTTAAATGAGGAATTGCTAAAAATGGAGCATTACCAACCTCCTTGATAAACATGGATTTTCAAACTATAATGTGTTAAATGATTAACCATTGCACTGACTGAAGTTTTGAATTAGAAAGGAACTTAATGGAATGGATTGATCTAGCTGCCCTCCATTATTTTGAATCTGACACCTAATGAATTCAGTTTTGAATTTGACATGACCAACATGAGTCATGTATCTCTGCATATATGCGCTGCTCTTCCGTTGCTTATGATTTGTATGCGTGCAGGTAATTTGTATTAGTATGAAACATATCTCAGTATATATGTCTATAAGAGTTTGGATGAAAGTGTTTATGCACCGTGGCAACCCAACAATTTTTCTATCGTATTTTATTACATTCAAAGCAATGTAGACATTTGGATTCAACAGTTTGCTTTTATCATTACCAGATTGCAGATGGAATGACCATTCAGATTACCACTGTTAATCTTCTACTTGAAACACGTGGGGGTGTTCAACGTGGGGGAGGGGCTGCTTGGTAAGTTGTTGTCTTCTCCCTCATTATATAGACATTTGGGAATTAATTTTTCTGTTTATATAAATGCAAACATTCTATATTTTTTTATTTATCCCAGCTTCCTTAACTGCCGTTGGCTCTACAACGTTTTCAATATAAAATACTAGCTGTTTAATGATGTTTACATAAGGATCATATTTTTGTTTGAATTAACCTTGGCATAATGTTTTCATGATTCACGGAAATCTTAAGTGATGCAGTACGATGTTCCATTTTTTTTTTATTTTTTTGAGAGAACTTGGATGGACACTTATCTATATCTTGTCCATCTCCAGGGCTTCACCACTGGCATCAATTACTATACACAACCTTTTCTTATATACCACAAATGAAAACTGGCAGGTAATTTTGCTGCAGCCTCTTAGCCTCAAACCTTGACCGCTTTCTTGTGTTTTTATTTTTTTTATTTTGTTTATATTACAGGTAGTAAACCTTAAGGAAGCACGTGACTTCTCCACTAACAAAAAGTTCATATATGCATTCAAGGTAACATAAAAGCTTTTGACAATACAGTGATGCACATAATTTAAATATTGTGTATCAAAGAGGGCTTTTCTACTGTTTGTGGTAGGGGTGAAGCCTGTAGCGTGGCTTATTTACTTAATGAATTTGTGAGGTAGGACTGTAGGAAATGTGTCTTCTGCTTGCTTTATTTGAAGCATCTAATCGATTATGCATTCTTTCCTTGATAGAAACTTGAATGGGAATCTTTATCTGTTGATCTCCTGCCTCATCCTGATATGTTCACCGATGCCAGTTTAGCTCGTGCTGAGGAGGGAGCCTCCCAGAGAGATGATGATGGTGCAAAGCGAGTTTTCTTTGGGGGAGAACGTTTTCTGGAAGGAATATCTGGAGAGGCTTATGTAATGTGAATAATAAGTTTTAAAGTAATTTTTTTTAATGATTTTTTCTTTGCTCTGGACCACAGAGCAGTGTTATCGAGTCTTTTCCAGATTCACCTGTGCTGTGCACTGACTGTGGTCGAATATATTTCCTAACTTGTTAATTTTTATCAGATCACAATGCAGAGAACTGAACTAAACAGTCCACTAGGGCTTGAGGTTCAGTTACATATTCCAGAAGCCATCTGCCCTGCATTGAGTGAACCAGGTATACTTTAAATGTTTTCTTCCCATCCATTTCTTATATTTGGCATAAATGCAGCAAGTTGGTGACATAGTAATGTTTGAGCAGGACTACGTGCTCTACTTCGCTTCATGACTGGGTTATATGTGTGTCTTAATAGAGGAGATGTTGGTCTACAGGCTCAGCAGGTTTATAGTTGTCCTTATTCTTACCCCTTTCTCTACCATTTTAAAGTTTAACATGCCAAGATGAGTCTCAACTAAGTGCTCTGCTCTATTTTTCTCTGTGAATCCTTGCAGCGATCTACAGAAGCAGCAGGATGTTCTCTAGTCTCAATTGTTGTTGACCACATATTTCTCTGCATCAAAGATGCTGGTTTGTCTGTTTTTCTCTTGTCCTTAACTCAGTGTTCGTATTTAGTTGTATTCTTCTCTTAACATTTTGCTCTTAAATATGCCTGAAACATCAATTTGATTTTCATTTGTGTTGTTTTTTTATCTGTCTATGGTACAACATATGACATTCTGTTTCTTAGAGTAAAATAACATATCTTATGAGTACATATCTCTTGACCCACGCCACTTGTGGGCTGCATTTGTGGCCCAGAGTATGTGTAGAGGAGAGGATATGCAGCCAGAAACACATGATAGTTTTCTTTCTTGCTTGTGCTTTCCACCACTCAAACTTTGCTAACGTTGGCAGTTTGCTTGCAGAGTTCCAGCTTGAACTTTTGATGCAGTCTCTCCTTTTTTCCCGGGTATTGTCTCATTCCTTAAAAACATTGAGCTTTAAAACAACATTTTGTTTCTTTGTTGGTCCCATTTTCTTGTGGGTTATTGATAATCTATCATGTCTTAAGAAACCTTATAGCAACTGTGAGTAACCTTTCCGTCTTTAAATCCTGCATATGGTTTTTCTCAAATCATAATTAGGATTGAATTGAGTTAGACATTCAACCTTCTAATAAGACTATTCTCTTTGCCGGTCCGAAGTTTTTAGTTTAAGAATGTATTTTGTTTATCAAGTAACCTAAGAAGAAGTTAGATCTGATTTCTATTTTTCTTGAGAATGTGTTTTTTTAGCTCTCAAAAGAATCAATATGAGATAGCTGGAAATCAGTTGAGCTGTATAAGATAGTTGGAAAGGTTGATCCTTTATCTAAATGTTTACTTTCGAAATTTTTTATGTTACTTAGAAGGCAAAAACTTTAAATGCAGCTGTGCGGTGACACGGACTGAAGCAATTCTATTTTGATAAGTTCTAGTGAGCTCTAATGATATTATTCTATTTTGCATTTCCTATCTTAGAAGCTGTTAGTCTGAAATTCTTGAGCATTTTATGTTCTTTGTGCTTCTGAGTATTTCTGTTATGAATTGCATGGTGACGTGATTTACCATTCTGAAATCTTATGCGTGGATGCAACTTCCAGGCCACAGTATCTGATGGAAAAATTGCCAATAATCTGACAAAGGTTATGCTTGGTGGAATGTTCTTGAGGTAAACTTCATTCTTCTTTGTTTGTCATTGTTTAGCACTGGTAAATATCTCTTCTCTTTCGAATAATCTGTTCTTGCGTCGAGTTGGCTCACTGGTCTGGCCTTTTATTTTGTTGTTAGCTGCTGTTTGGAGGATTAGCATTATGCCTGTGGCATTCCATTGTTGTGGTTACCACATATTTTCCTTTTCTATGAACAACATACAGATACAAATGATACAAAAAACTGTATAAATAGAGTGGTGTCATTTCACTTGTATGACAAGTGATGGCTTCATCACTTTCCATGTCACTGGATTGAAATTCTGTATAATTTTTTTTTGTTTTTAATAGAATTCTTCCTTTTGATTTGATTAGCCACAGAGTAGTTTCTATATTAGTTGGTCATCTTTAAATTGGAATGCAGTGGTGGAATGGATAACACCTGACCAAAACGGGATTGAATATTGGTTGGGTCAAGATGACTGTCATGGCATTGGACAGTGCAACCATTGTTTATCACCTTTTGACCTTTTTGTTTTTTCTTAAAGTTTTCACATGATTAATTTTAGACCAGATGAAAAATGGCCTTCTTGGGCAATAAAACAACAGGGACTTGATTTTGAGTTGATTTGATCATATGTAGCCGAGTTTAACGACTTTGTAAACTGCTGAAATGTAGGGACACCTTCTCACGCCCTCCTTGCACTTTACTGCAACCATCCCTGCAAGCTATCACAAAAAATGTTGCACGGATTCCTGATTTTGGTACTATTCAATCAAATGAATGCGTTTCTGGTTAGGACTGAATATAAATCATTAAAGTTGATCGTGCTTATTTAATTGTATTCACAGCAAAGGATTTTTGCCCTCCTATATATCCTCTGGGAGACCACCAGTGGCAGAAAAGTGTTGGTATTCCTTTGATATGCCTCCACTCTCTTCAGGCTAAGCCCTCGCCAGTTCCACCATGTTTTGCTTCACAAACAGTTATCACATGTCAGCCTCTTACGGTATGCATCGATAATCTCCGTAGTTGATGTTTTTTCTTCTTTTTGTACTCTCTTCCAATCACCATTTCTCGTCATTTGCTCAGATTCACCTTCAAGAAGAATCATGTTTGAGGATATCTTCCTTCTTAGCTGATGGCATTGTTATCAATCCTGGGGATGTGTTACCTGATTTTTCAGTAAATTCCTTGGTAATTGTTCTCAAGGAATTAGATGTTATTGTTCCGTTGGATGTGAGTCAATCAAACAACCCAACTGAAAATGGAAACTCTACTTTTCACAATGTGTTTGCTGGAGCAAGGCTTCGCATTGAAAATTTGTACTTCTCAGAGTCGCCAACACTAAAACTCAGGCTACTGAAGCTGGAGAAGGATCCTGCTTGCTTTTATCTCTGGGAGGGACAACCAATTGATGCTAGCCTGAAAAAATGGACTACTGGAGCATCGCACCTTACACTGTCTCTGGAAACATCTACCAACTTAAATGGGACACCGAGTTCCAATGGGATGAGCTCAGGCTCATGGAGATGCATTGAACTACAAGATGCTTCTGTGGAAGTTGCCATGATATCGGCTGATGGGAGTCCATTGACAAATGTTCCTCCCCCTGGTGGTATTGTCAGAGTTGGAGTTGCATGTCAACAATATCTTTCCAACACTTCTATTGAGCAGCTATTCTTTGTCCTTGATCTTTATGCATATTTTGGCAGGGTTTGTGAAAAGATTGTCTCAGTTGGCAAGGATAAGAGACCAAAGATAACTAGGAATGGATCTTCTGGTGTTAGGATAATGGATAAGGTTCCCTGTGACACTGCAGTAAGCTTAGCAGTGAATGAACTTCGACTTCGATTTTTAGAATCTTCTGCCTCAGAGATTGAGGGAATGCCTTTGGTTCAATTTACTGGGGAAGATCTTTACATAAAAGTTTCTCATAGAACCCTTGGGGGTGCCATTGTTATTTCATCCTCTGTGTACTGGCAGAGTGTTGAGGTGGACTGTGTAGAGACTGAGGGAAGCTTGGCACATGAAAATGGCATGCTGACAAGTTCTGTTGAAAATGGTTGTCTTGTAACTGCGAATGGATACCCTCAACTAAGAGCTGTGTTTTGGGTGCATAATGGACAGAAATACCAAGCAAATGGTATTGCTTGTACAATCCCATTTCTAGACACAAGCATGGTACACATGATTCCATTAAGTGAACAGGATCAAGAGTGCCACAGTTTAAGTGTTTCTGCCTGTATATCTGGTGTTCGCCTGGGTGGAGGAATGAACTATGCTGAAGCCTTACTCCATCGGTTTGGAATATTGGGGCCCGATGGTGGTCCAGGGGAGGGGCTTTCTAAAGGGCTAGAAAATTTATCAACTGGGCCACTTTCTAAACTTTTTAAAGGGTCCCCTCTTATTGATAATCTAAAAGAAGGTATGGTGCAACCTACATAATTGGTCGGTCATTATTATGCAGTACTGCTTAGGCTTTGTTTTAATTTCCACTTCAGTTGCTGCTGTCTTATCTCTTCATCAATTCTACAGATGGAAGTTCAATAGATGGCAAAGATGGAGTTTTACAACTCAGATTGCCAGATGATGTGGATGTGTGCATAGAATTAAAAGACTGGTTATTTGCTCTTCAAGGTGCACAGGAGATGGCAGGTGGGTGGTTCTTTTACAACAACAAAGATGTGGGAAGAGAAGAGAGGTGTTGGCACGCATCTTTCCAAAGTTTGAAGTTAAAAGCGAAAAGTAGTCCGAAGATAGAGTTGAATGGAAAAGAAAAACCAAATGGAAAACTGAAATATCCTGTGGAATTAGTTACAGTAAGGAACTCTCTCTCTCTCTCTCTCTCACAAGGATTTAATGGTAATAGTGGTTTTGCAAAGCTGTAAAAAACTTTACTGGTAGTGTTGTTCAAGTGGCTTCACTTTTAGTGGGTCTTCTTTTGGGGAATCAATAGATTTCATAGTTTTAGGGTTAACTGGGAGTATAATTTACTTTTGGCAATTTCATAGTTTTAGGCCTGCAGAACTGATTGATTTGGGGGTTGAGACTCTCAGATAAAGAAGTGGAGGATGTGTGTGTTATACTTTCTATTGTTCTTACAAGGTCAGGTGTTGATTAGGCAATATGTGTGGATTCAATTTTTTAACACTGGGATTGTGCCTGTAGGTTGGTGTGGAAGGCTTGCAGACATTGAAGCCACAGGGACAAAAGGGCATTTCTATGCCTGCAAATGGGATAAAGGAAGTTGTGGAGACATCGGGAGGAATCAATCTTGAAGTTCAGATGGTGGCATCGGAGGAAAACATTGATGATGAGATGGCCAATTGGGCCGTGGAAAACTTGAAATTTTCTGTCAAGCAACCAGTAATGAGATACAAACTTCCCTGATATTTGATCAGTGGCTCTTACCTTAAATGGAACCTGACATTTCATAATTTATTCCTTGTAGATTGAGGCTGTTGTGACCAAAGATGAGTTCCAGCACCTTGCTTTGTTGTGCAAGTCAGAAGTTGATGCGATGGGTCGGATAGCTGCTGGTTTCCTGAGGCTACTCAAGTTTGAACGGTCAATTGGCCAGTCAGCCATAGATCAACTTAGCAACCTTGGTACAGTCTAATTGTTTTTTACAAGCTCCTTGTCTATACTTTCTTACACGTTTTAATAAATACACACATAATACTGTCCTATAATTCATAAGTTAGTTTCAAAACTAGAGCGTGGGATTTGGAAGCATGAGAAGTTGTGGTTTAACAGATGTTAGACTGGAAATTGATATGATTGGGATGTCTGAGTTGAGGTTCTTGGCTTGATATGCAAGGACTGTTTAATAGTGGACTAGAGGAATAAAATGTGCACCTGTAACGGATTTTGTGCACAGGCCTTTTTCATTGAGTTCCAGTTGAGGAATATACGATTACGGTTCCTCGGGTTGAGCTTTTCTTCTGTATATGGCTCTGATATTTGCTTTTTACATATTTTGCAAGGCTTCGTATTTATCAATTTATCATGCCTTGCAGGAAGTGAGGGCTTCAACAAGATTTTCACCCCAGACAGGCTCAGCAGGGGTGCTAGTCCTGCCATCATTGCTTTCTCTCCGTCATCGTATCTGATTAATGAAAGCCCACAAACAACCATGGAATCAACAGCAACTTCCCTCGAGGAAGCACTTTTGGATTCACAGGCCAAATTGGCTGCCCTTATTACTGATTTATCCAGTTCAGAATCGTCTATACAGCATCTTGCTGATGTTAAACAACTAAGTCAGAAGCTTGAAAACATGCAAAGTTTGGTGATGCAATTACGGACCAAAATCTGAATGATCTCAATTCCTTGCTGGAATGGTGATGCAATTACGGACCAAAATCTGATGTTAAACAACTCCTTGCTGGAAAGTTTTGGGATACAAATGGATGCAATGGATATAGTACACCGATTCTTTCTTGTATATATATTATAGGCATAGATGCATGATGAGTATTACAATGAGGCAAAATCGAGATATTTTCAATTGTTGTAAAAAATTTTGTATCCTAGGTGACCAGTACCATATGAGTTATAGTTCAATTTTTCCTAGGTGACCAGTACCATATGAGTTATGGTTCAATTTTTCAATGAACATGTCTTGTGCGTCGCATAACTGGTTTCATTTTTGGTGGTTTTTCCTGTCATAACTGAGTTTATATCGACAGCTCAAACCCTGCTGGTTAAATTCTTGGTTACGGAGCTGATCAATTTTTTCTGATTGTAGATATTAGCAGGTTTTCAGAAGCGGCTTCCTGCGGGGAATTTGTTACTAGCGTTGCAGATAGTTTGGTCTGAATTTCATACAGTTCTCTCTCTGTTAGATCAGCAGACATCTCATAAACACACCAAGATAGAACATGCTGCAGAAAGTTTGTAGCTCGAACTGCTTGAGCTTCTACACTTGGAAACCGAAAGTGGTTTTTCTAGATACAGCTAAAATTTGTTTTCCCAGTGGATGGTTAATGGCTAAAAAGCTCTGGGTTCAATTGGGTGGAATCTTGGATCCTTTTGACGATTGTTGTAAACTAGCTCCGACGATTGCTACCCAAAACAAGGAATAAATAATTGTTTGAGATGAGCCGAGATGGAATTGGATTTTTCATTTATGACAAAACCCAAAAAAATATAACATCTCTCTCTCTCATATCCCACAAGGAAATTGGAGAAATAAACAGAAATTTCCATTAATTTCTTCATATGGAATTAGGGTTTAAAATGAAACCAATTAGTACCCCTACTTTTTTCTTCATAGTGTTGGGATATGGTTGGGATTGAACCCAGATTAATAACTTTTTTTAATTTTTATTTTAAGAGCTACCATGAAAAAGAAAAATGTTTCTTCAATTTAAGATCAAAGAAACAAAAAAAGAAGGGATCAATTCACATGCCTGGAAATGTTTGTTTTCTAGCTTAGAATAATTCATACAACGTATTACCTGATGGTGAATAATTCAGTAGGGAAAATTAATATTTTTGATCCAAATTTATTAGCCATTTTCAGCTGCTTCTCTGCAAGTTCGTATACATAGCTAGGGCTTTCACGGACCACCTGTTGTGATTTACACGAAGAAAATAATTAAAATTCACAAGCCACCACCACATCAGTTGGTAAAATACTGTTGTTAAATCAAGTCTTGCCATTTCAGCCTCAAATTTGCCATCTTGAAGTTTATGTCAAATTATTAACAAAACTCTGAAAGAAGTGTGTTTTGGACTGATGAAATATCATCTAAATGAAGTGTTTAATATGAAAATCTATAAGATGAAATAAAAATCACAGTTAAATAAAAAAGAATGAAAATCCTATAAATAATTACATATTTCTTTGTTGATTCTTTTACAGTTAGTTAAGTGTCAGTATGCATATAAAAATTTAGGATATAAAGTATAATTTCTCAAAGAATAATAGAAAAGTAAAAACATGATCAATTCTTAGGAAGTCTTTTTTTTTTTTGTTGTAATTATGCTTATATTTTGATTTTCCCTACCATTATTTTAATTATAATTTTTTAAAATCATTTTATATAATTGATTTTTTTCCGTTAATCTAATATTTTAACATTTAATTTGCGGAGAATTGGATTTTATGATTTTTATTTATTTATTTATGGTTCTTTCATTTTAATGACTTAGATTACAAGTTTGAAAAATTAATTTGTGGTGTTATTTTTATTTGTTTATTTTATTGTTTGACTTTTTTTTTTTAAAAAATATTAGTTTTATGATTTTTTTTAAATTTTTTTATTAAGTTATTTTCTATTAAGTTATCTCGATCTTATAACTTGATCCACAAGTTTTACAATTTAATTGCTAATTGACTCATATTTTAATACTTAGGTTATATATTTATTACACTAACTTGGATTAATTCAATTATTTTTTCTTTGTTTAATTTTCATCTAACACTGTACTTTCAAGGTTTAGTTTTTTCAAGTTATTATGATTTTTTTATATAAAAATTTTATTTTTTTTATTATTATTGCATGTATTTTAATCATTTAATTAAAGTAGAATCATTTTATTAAAATTTGATTGGATCAATAACTCAAGTTATTTTTTTTCATTTCTTTTAAATATATTTATAACACTTAAACTATCATTTTTTTAAATAAATTTTAATTAATATTTTTTAATATTTTTTTCCTTAAAAAATATTTACATTTAATTATTATGTCTCTTTAATTTTTCATTTTGCTTATGTAGTTTTTCTCAAATAAAAGTTTCTTATATTTTTAAAAATTATTTTACATGTTTAGTTTTTAAAGATATTATTCTAATAAATCTAGATTTTTGTTTTTGCTTTATATAGATAAACTTTAATTCTTAAAATAAAACATATTCATTTTTAAATAATATTTATAATATATACAAACTCTTATAATTTTTCTCTTTTTATTACTTTTTAATTGAATAATTTTTTTAATAAGAATAAATATCTCATATGATCTACTTTATTTCTTGATTTTTTCAGATTAGTTAATAATTATTTTTTTCATCTCTTTACATAAATAAAGATCAAAGTTGATATAAAAATCAAATTTTAAAGGATAAAAAAAAAAAAAACTTTATTTGATTAGATACTTGAATAAACTTTTCAATTTATATTTTAAATTTTTTTAATATAAAAAATATGTTGAAAAAGTTTACATATTCATTTTTCTTTTTCTTTTTTTAAATATGCAACCCACAACTAATCACGGGTCAAATAGCTGTTAGAATTCAAAATAAGTTACATTAGACTTAAACTAGTCCACTAATGGAGATTAACTGTGACAGCAAATCTCCCAAGGGGCCATTTGGATATGAACTTTAGGAAGGTGGTGGTATAGAATCCCAGCGCCATATTGACCCATCCTCACAGCAGCTAAGGATGGTGCTGCAACATTCAAAACCAAAGAGAATTTAGCTATTTCACTAGCTACCAAATTAAAATTTTCATGAAACATGAGGAAGTGGAGCAGTAGTTCAAGTGGGAATTACCTTCCATCAAAGGACATCGCAGTCTGTCTAACTGGAGATTTGGACTGAGCATGAGATAGCCTGAGAGAGAATCACAACTAGTGAATAAATGCATGGAACACAGGGCATTGATGAAGGACGAGTTTCTTCCACAGCAGAAGAAGATAAACCATAAAAAAAAACAAGGACCTTGCTATGAGAACAGGGGGGCTGCTTTGCAGTTCCCAAACATAGATCTTCCCTTCCCTATTCCCTGTCACATAGAATGCAGACAGATCAAGTCTCCACAAGAATTACGCACAACCTTAAATATAAAAAGGAAACAAGGGAATACTAATGTCAGTGAGTTTGGGAAATTATGTCAGCAAAAATCCATGGACAAGAATACCAAAAGCAACCAGTAGGCTCTCATTACCTATGGCAGCTGCATTGTAATTGAAATCACAGGAAAATTTGATGAACCAAATATCACATTCTGGAACGGGGTATTTTTGAAGGATGTCGGCAGTACCCTAAATAGAAGACAGTTGAGTGGCCAAGATTCATGTGGCCCACCAAAATCAGGAAGTGACAAGAAATATTATACATATTAATAAACAGAAGTGGACAAGAACTCTAAGACGTCTCCAGAAAAAAATATCAATGAAGAAACCCTAACCTCTCCAGGAGACTGTTCCTTCATTTTTGGTTCCCATAGCACAATCTCATTATCAACACTCTGCAATTGTGCAAAACAACTTACAAGGATAAGCATGAATGTCACCGCAAATTCCTAGCAAGGGAAAATGCATAGATCAAGGATGTCAGATTAGTATTTTTTTTTTTTAAAAAGAATTATGATTCTCAGTTACCGATTCAAGTCTAATTTACCAATTCAAACAATTTTCTCACTACTGCCAGCTTCTCAAATGAAGTTATTGATGGTTGTTTTGAGGATTCAGGTATATCATCTGCTTGAAGTATTTTCATCTAGGATCCCAAACTATTCACATCTTTCTAGGGGATGGTAAATGAGAGATGGCATTAGACATAATACTAAACTCCTCCAATGCTACTGCCAAAAGATGTAGAATTTGTTGCAGAAATGATAAATTCTATACACAATTTTAATGAGACTGACAAACAAAAGTAGTTCATTACTAGCCGCACAGGCAAATAGTACAAGGCATCCTTGATTAATTTTTTAAAATCACAAAACACACTTTCATGAAGCAGCATTCACCTTTGACAGCATAAAATCACCAAGCCACCGATTACAATCAACGTAGTTTGAATGAACTGAAGCTATGAACACCTGAAAGACAAATAGCAACCTCACATGTCAAGGTAACATATTCCTCACTCTTATGTTGAAGGAAAGGAAAGAAACTCACAGGAAACTGCACATATTTCGTGGGGAACTTTGAAGGACAATCTGTCCATGTAAAAGATTTCTCTACATATGTCCAAAACTCTGCAAATAGTAAATGACAACAAATAAAAAAAGGAAGAACAACAATTAAAAAATGATGCTTTTTAATTGAAGCCACCTTTCTCTACAGTAAATGAGAACATTTGAAGCAAGGACTTAAATTTAAAACCTTCTACATTTCAATATATCATTTCATAACTCTTACATTATAGTCTAAGCATCCAGTCAGACTGGACTGGATAAGGGCTTTTTTCATTCCAATAAAACTGAGTGTCGACAACACCAGATAAGACAGACCATAATAAGTAGCATACCTTTCATTGACCAAATCTTAACAGTGTTGTCCATGCCACAACTTGCAATGCGATATATGTCTGAAGGATGGAAATCCTGAAATAACCACCACAACCCTAATCAGTTTCAATTAAGTTATGGGACAAGGAGTGATGAACTACAGAACACATAACGATATCTTCATATTGCAGGAGTGGAGGCACAACTCTACATCATCTAAACTTACCACACTCAAAACTTCATTGCGGTGACCACCAGCTCCAGCAAATATCAAAATGCAAATTCCAGTATGAACATTCCACAACCGAACTGATTCATCCTGGTCCAATCAAACATTTGTCAATACACACAAAAAGAACACATGAAAAAGAAAATGGGGATG